GCTGTGCGCAGCGTCGAGTTCACGCTCAACGATGGAATCCTCACCGTCGTAGAAGGAAACCTCTTCCACCCGAGACGTTCCTGGGATCCGTACGAATGAAACTCGATCTCCGCATTGATCATCATCGTCGTCAACCATGTCTCTCATGATCTGTGCCCTCAATCTCGCTTTGTGCTTGGCGAATTCCAAAGTCACGGCGCGATCCTCATCGTTGACAAGTGCTTCCATGTCGACGTACTTCACCTTCCGTTCTTTGTCCTTCTTCGACTTTCTAGGACACGAAGAAGTGAACTTCACGTCGTCAGCGAATGTCACGTTGCGCTTGATCTCTTTTCGGGTCGACGTAGTCGGTCCCGAGGATTCGTCGTCGGTTGAACAATCCGAGTCAGCGTCGCTGTCAGCGGATGAACAATCTGACTCTTCCTCATCTTGTCTTGAAGATCGCTTCCATATAGCCGGGGCTGATGGATTCCACCTTCGGCACAGTCTAATGGCGGGTGCCGCAGGGAGTGCCTTGGCCTTAGCATTCGGTTTCGCTGGAGCTGCCTTCGCTTCGGATTTGGCTTTGGCTTTCGCCTTTGGCTCCGGAGCTGGGGTAGCTGCGGCCTCATGCTTGAAAGGACAATTCTCTCTTGAGCACGAGCCTGTGTTCTTGAAAGAGTAGCATATCCTATTTCCTCCTCCTCCAGATGGACTTGGAGTTCTCGTCCTCGGCGTAAAGGGTCGCTCTGGAGTCTTCTTCGAGTGACTGAATGGGCACTTGTCACCATTTCGACACCCTGCATCTGTGAAATGGAACTTGCAGCGGATTTGCTTCTTGCTCTTGTCGCCTCTGTTGTCCGCCGACTCACTCCTCGTCTTCTTCTTGGGCTTTGGCTTGGTCTTCGCATGACTCTTCGCTTTGCTCTGAGGTAGTACAGGTGTTGCTTTATCCGGCTTGGTAGGCGAAGCTTTGACCTTTGCGGATGGAGCTGCATTAGGCGTTGGTTTCTCAGGTACCTTGGCCGGCGCAGCGAGCAAATCCTTGCCCTCAAGCATCTGGCGCAAACCAATTTGGGTCTGAGTGAGATTTGATTGTTCTCGTCTCCGCATGATGGTACGATCGATGATCTTCATCAGATTGTCGTACGATCGGTCTTCATGATTGTAGGGCAAGTGGTCATAGTGCATGCCCAAATCCATCTTCATTGCGGGCGAGTCCTTGATCTTGCTGTGCAAGCAATCACGGAGAGCTGTTTTGGATGGTATGTCTTCTGGTCTCATCCGTCCAAGAACTTCCAACCATGTCTGCTTGAACGTATGAAGTTTGTTGTCGCCTTGGTACTGGAGCTTCACCAAGTACTCGAGACTGATGATCATGTCGAGACGGTCATGCGTTCGAAAACTTTCATACATCATCGCAATGATTTGTCGTCCTTTGATGATCTTCCCTTCGGGCCTGCTGATGTAATCGTTGGCCTTCCGGTTCACCTCCAGGTACAGATCAGCGGATTTGTCACCACCAGCGCGTAGCATTGCGACCATGGAGACCCCCAATTTGACGTCTATGCTCTTGAACTTCTTGTGTCCTGAATCGTTCAGTGCTTCGACATCAGGGAATGGATTGAACGCTGGTGCCAGCCACAACATCCAGTCCTCATGATTTGGGTCGGCTGACGCTCCTAGGACGTTCGCCGTGCATACGGACCGCCAGTTGTTCAGGTGAGTGAGAACAGGCCATGGAGGGACTGTCACTTTATCGGCCTCTCTCCTGGAAATTCTCACCTCCGTGACCTCAGGATCTGCGTCTCCGTCAGGATCACGCGCATGAGGGTCAGGATCCGGTTCAGGTTTGCCTCCACCGTTCTTCTTCTTATCATCATCGTCATCATTAGGCGAATCTGGAGGGTCATACCCCGTGCCGGCCCCTTCATCTTGCTCTCCCTCTTCGTTCTCATCGCCAGCTTCATCACCGTCATCGTCTCCATTGTCTTCCTGCATCGTTTCAGCGAATAATCTCCACTCATCACGATCAGCTCTGAGACGTTGTTCGGCTTTCTGGGCCTTGAGTACTTCGCTTCGCAGATCAGCAATCTTCTCTTCGTACTGTTCCGCGACCTCTTTCTCGATCTGACGCCTCCTTGCCTCATGGATGGAAGCATCGTAGGTGACAGGGGTAGCCTTTGGGGCACCATTGGGGTCGTTGCCCCTCATAGATGCGATAATGCCGTCGATACCAACAGGTCTTGAAGAGCTGGCAGATGCTGTGGACTTCGATCCCAACATCCCGCGATCCTCCAAGAGTTCACGTAGCTGTCGGTCACGTACGGCTGCCGCATCACTTTGTCCATGAAATCCGCTTGGTATGCCAAACAGAGTGGCTGCACTGGGCGTGGAACGCGCATGTGCTGGACTGCTAATGCCTGGCACGTGGTGCTCGGGCATTGCATCCGCCACGATTGGCGTTGCATAGGATTTATTTACTTCACCTTTGATGCTGCCAGTGAAGAAGTTTCCACCGGTAAATGGGATGCCATCCATCGCAAGGTTCTTGTCCTTGTCCGATTCTGAGAATGCGAACTTCTCTTTGGCGACTGGACTAATTTGACTTGGGGACCGTATTTCAGGGGATCGCACCTCACCTCCTACGGAAAATGCAGGCACTACTTCCTTTCCTACGCGCTCCCAGCCAGACTCAGTAGTCCTCGAAGACATGGGCATGCTCGAAGGCCGTGTCGCTCCGCCATGGTAGTTGGAGTTCCGTGCTGCCTCCAATTCGCTGCGTGTCCTCGCTTGAAGATCTTCTTGTGCTTTGAGCGTTTTCCTGAGTTCGCTCAGCTCGTCGTGCAAGGTGGGCAATGCGCGCCTTGCATGATCCTCATTCTGATGAAGTCGGTCCTCTGCATCTTGCATCCTCCTCACAGCCATTTTGCGGTACTCTTCCTCCTCACCAAGACGTTCGCGAAGCCGAAGTCGTTCTTGATCAATGGCTGCGCTGTTTCCAGCTAGCCCTTGAATCTCGTTTACGGCCCGCAACTCCTGATTCCTGACCAGGTGGAATCGTTCCTGCATCGCTTGTAAGGCTTGTTCCGAACTTGCTGTGTTCGACCGGAGGAACAAGTTCTCTCTGGCTTGTTCATGAAGTTCATGAGTCAGATGCTCATACTCACGTGCCATAAGCTCACCATCGCCCTGCGCTCTTGCCTCCAACTGCACAAAGTTAGTGGCTGCTTCCGTGCGGAACACATGTAGCTGCTGAGCCAATTCCTCGGCAACGGCGTGTGCTTGACGTTGTTGAGCAGAGTTCTGTTCATCCATGCGAAACAAAGCTGTTTCATAGTCTCGCTTCATCTCCTGATTGACATTGTTGATGTGCCTCATGGCTAAGCATGCATGGTCGCGTTGTCGTTCCAATTCTTCGATGCGAATCCCAGATCCTTCATCTTCTTGCTGCATCTCCTTGATCTTCTCCATCAGGGTCTGGACAACACCTTCGTACTCCTGCACCTGACTTCGATATATAGTACATCTGCTGTGCAAGATTCGATGCTTCAAATTGTTGCGGAATTGTCAGTCCCTGGTAGGCATTCGGACCATCGGCTATGGCTGGTGTGGTCACCGACGAAGCGTCACCCCGTGCAGGGATTGTGTCCAGAGTCATATCCAGATCGTCAGCTTCGCGTGGTTGATTGGTAACCATTCGATTCCACGTCATGGACTTGTCACGTCCACGAGTGGCCGAGGTCCTTGATCGTGCTGAAGAGCTTCTTGAAGATGATGGTCGCGGCTTCTTTTCCAAAGTCTTCACTCCCTTGTCCTTTGCCCTCGACGGGGTCCGAGGTGCCTGAAAACCAGACGCTTCGGATCGTCGTTCTGGAGCCTTGCTCGTCCTCGAACCTGTGGATGTTGGACGCGAAGGCGTGGATGCTCTTGGTAGACTCTTTGCTTTCGCTTTGGGAACTGCCTTTGCAATGGCAAGCGCAGAAGATTGACCTTTGTCATCTTCCGTGGAGCTATCAACGGATTGCACCACTGTGTCATCAGCTGTTGACTCACCAACGGCTGGCGCTGCCACATCGGCACCGAAAGTCATTGTCGTATCTTGACTTGATCCCGAGTTCATTGTGGTCGTAGTAGATCAAGTAGTCTTTGCTGCAGAAAGGCAGAGCCGCGTACGGCTGATAACCTGCGTGGGGATTTGATCCTGGTAATGTTCTCTGTCGCTCACCCCACAAAGAGCTGTATTGACTGTTGGCGTGGTTGCCTTCTACAAACTGGATCACCGTTACTTCCACTTCCACACACGCACTCCTATGCAGGCAGATCCAACGTTCGCTCGTTTTGCACACTCACGGCCGGCGGTGGATCGTCTGTGCACGGGATAGCTCTGTCTACTCGGAGAATCACAGAAGATTATAGCACTTTAGCTATGGGCAATGCTTTCTAGAGCTTGTGCTCATTCTTGAGCCAAACGTTGCATGGGCGGTCATACTGAAAGGATGGATAGGCATTGCGGTGTGCGTAGCACTACCACAAGCCTACTCCTAGAGACGAGGGACGCGTGGCGTGCCCCCTTCCCTTGCACTTTACACGGTCTTGCTCACAGCTCTTATAGTGACACCTTGGAACTTGACAAGGCATCGCAGTCCGTTCGCAAACAATAAACACAATAACGATAGTCGTCGTCGTAGTAGCAGCAGCAATAGCAATAGCAGTAGCAGAAGCAGTAGGAGTAGTAGTAGCAGTAGTAGCAGTAGTAGCAGTAGTAGTAGTAGTAGTAGTAGTAGTAGTAGTAGTAGTAGTAGTAGTGGTAGTAGTAGTAGTAGTAGTAGGAGTAGGAGTAGGAGTAGGAGTAGTAGGAGTAGTAGTAGTAGTAGTAGTAGTCGTGGTGGTGGTAGTAGTCATAGTGGAGGACGGGGAGGAGTAGCAGACATAGAGGGGGACAGCAACGTAGACGGAGACACAAATGCAGAAGTGGAAAAGACATTAACAAAACGAAGTCATAATTGCTTTCGAACCGCCTGCACTCCGAGCTCGCTCTCGAATGCACGCAGAGGCGAGGCGGTGTAGTTGGCCCAGTCTCCCCACGCGCTGCCAGTGAGTCCGTCCTACATGCAACGTCAAAGATGTAGATCAACTCTCTTCAACATCACAACTACATGATACTTTAAGCAATTTGGCTGCATGTCGCAAAGAACGACGAAGGCATGCTTGCAAACACACTTCCGCTCTTGTCGTGGTGAACTCGGGCGCGTGACATGTGAACAACATGAACAACGTGACAAACGTCCTGGAAGAACATGCCAATGATGGCCATCATCGCAAGGCGGCCATTGGCGATTTCCGCATTGAGCTTCTTCGTCTTCTCAGCAGGATCGGAGGAAGTCAGCACCTTGAACCCGAAGTCACCTGCATAGGCTGCCGTGCCCGGCTCCTGTGTCTGCGACACCTCGCAGTAGGCCATGTACAAGAGGATCTGACCCCAACCTGCCTGAGGCACCTTGGAGATTGCAGCAAGGCCATTTGGGATGTCTGCGAATTTGAGTCCTGCGCTCGGGCTCAAGTATCCTGGGAATTTGCCGGTGATCTCGGGCGTGATGTAACCCATGGTTGCAAGCATTGCAATTCTTCCGTGCTTAATTTCGGTGGCACGGCGGCGCTTGAAGTTCTCGACGCTGCCATCCGCTGACAGGCCTGCTGGATCCCAGAAACCCACTGGTGCCTGCACACCAAGTTCGTTCTCGAATGCACGCAGAGGCGAGGCGGTGTAGTTGGCCCAGTCTCCCCAGGCACTTCCAGTGAGTCCGTCCTACATGCAACATCAAAGATGTAGATCGACGTTCATCAACATCCCAACTACAGAATACTTTAAGCGTTGGCTGCATGTCGTGAAGAACGACGAAGGCATGCTTGCAAACACACTTCCGCTCTTGTCGTGATGAACTCGGGCGCGTGACATGTGAACAACATGAACAACGTGACAAACGTCCTGGAAGAACATGCCAATGATGGCCATCATCGCAAGGCGGCCATTGGCGATTTCCGCATTGAGCTTCTTCGTCTTCTCAGCAGGATCGGAGGAAGTCAGCACCTTGAACCCGAAGTCACCTGCATAGGCTGCCGTGCCCGGCTCCTGTGTCTGCGACACCTCGCAGTAGGCCATGTACAAGAGGATCTGACCCCAACCTGCCTGAGGCACCTTGGAGATTGCAGCAAGGCCATTTGGGATGTCTGCGAATTTGAGTCCTGCGCTCGGGCTCAAGTATCCTGGGAATTTGCCGGTGATCTCGGGCGTGATGTAACCCATGGTTGCAAGCATTGCAATTCTTCCGTGCTTAATTTCGGTGGCACGGCGGCGCTTGAAGTTCTCGACGCTGCCATCCGCTGACAGGCCTGCTGGATCCCAGAAACCCACTGGTGCCTGCACACCAAGTTCGTTCTCGAATGCACGCAGAGGCGAGGCGGTGTAGTTGGCCCAGTCTCCCCAGGCACTGCCAGTGAGTCCGTCCTACATGCAACATCAAGGATGTAGATCAACGTTCATCAACATCCCAACTACATGATACTTTAAGCGCTGGCTGCATGTCGTGAAGAACGACGAAGGCATGCTTGCAAACACACTTCCGCTCTTGTCGTGATGAACTCGGGCGCGTGACATGTGAACAACATGAACAACGTGACAAACGTCCTGGAAGAACATGCCAATGATGGCCATCATCGCAAGGCGGCCATTGGCGATTTCCGCATTGAGCTTCTTCGTCTTCTCAGCAGGATCGGAGGAAGTCAGCACCTTGAACCCGAAGTCACCTGCATAGGCTGCCGTGCCCGGCTCCTGTGTCTGCGACACCTCGCAGTAGGCCATGTACAAGAGGATCTGACCCCAACCTGCCTGAGGCACCTTGGAGATTGCAGCAAGGCCATTTGGGATGTCTGCGAATTTGAGTCCTGCGCTCGGGCTCAAGTATCCTGGGAATTTGCCGGTGATCTCGGGCGTGATGTAACCCATGGTTGCAAGCATTGCAATTCTTCCGTGCTTAATTTCGGTGGCACGGCGGCGCTTGAAGTTCTCGACGCTGCCATCCGCTGACAGGCCTGCTGGATCCCAGAAACCCACTGGTGCCTGCACACCAAGTTCGTTCTCGAATGCACGCAGAGGCGAGGCGGTGTAGTTGGCCCAGTCTCCCCAGGCACTGCCAGTGAGTCCGTCCTACATGCAACATCAAGGATGTAGATCAACGTTCATCAACATCCCAACTACATGATACTTTAAGTGCTGGCTGCATGTCGTGAAGAACGACGAAGGCATGCTTGCAAACACACTTCCGCTCTTGTCGTGATGAACTCGGGCGCGTGACATGTGAACAACATGAACAACGTGACAAACGTCCTGGAAGAACATGCCAATGATGGCCATCATCGCAAGGCGGCCATTGGCGATTTCCGCATTGAGCTTCTTCGTCTTCTCAGCAGGATCGGAGGAAGTCAGCACCTTGAACCCGAAGTCACCTGCATAGGCTGCCGTGCCCGGCTCCTGTGTCTGCGACACCTCGCAGTAGGCCATGTACAAGAGGATCTGACCCCAACCTGCCTGAGGCACCTTGGAGATTGCAGCAAGGCCATTTGGGATGTCTGCGAATTTGAGTCCTGCGCTCGGGCTCAAGTATCCTGGGAATTTGCCGGTGATCTCGGGCGTGATGTAACCCATGGTTGCAAGCATTGCAATTCTTCCGTGCTTAATTTCGGTGGCACGGCGGCGCTTGAAGTTCTCGACGCTGCCATCCGCTGACAGGCCTGCTGGATCCCAGAAACCCACTGGTGCCTGCACACCAAGTTCGTTCTCGAATGCACGCAGAGGCGAGGCGGTGTAGTTGGCCCAGTCTCCCCACGCGCTGCCAGTGAGTCCGTCCTACCATGCAAGATGTCGCAAAAGTCTACTAGGTAGCTGGTCTGCTTGAAACGCATCACAGCAGTAGCACGTGGCAGCCACTATCTCATTCAACAACAGAAGAGCACACATGAACACACGCGCGATTGCATAACACATGATAGCAACATTCAGCACAGCAGTTCACGCAGGTTTTCACTTGATGCCTGGAAGAACATGCCAATGATAGCCATCATCGCGAGGCGTCCGTTTGCCAGCTCCGCCGACAACTTTTTCGTCTTCTCAGCAGGATCGCTGGACGTAAGCACCTTGAAGCCGTAGTCACCGGGAGTTCCGCTCTTGTAGTCATCAAATCCACCGCTGAACTCCACGAAGCCGAAGTATGCGGCGATCTGTGCCCAGCCTGCAACGGGCACCTTCGAGACAGCAGCAAGGCCGTTCGGGATGTCTGCGAACTTCAAGCCGGCGGATGGGGACAAGAATCCGGGCCTCAACACGCCAACGATGCTTCCGAACCACCGTTGCTCTCGCACCTAAAGACCGTTGACATGATGCCAAGGGCCCCGCAGCTTGCCGGTGATCTCAGGCGTGATGTAACCTCCAACGCTTCCGGCTTACTGCATTACACAAACGCTTTGCGTGTAGCACAGGAGAATCAACTCCTTTGCCCCTCCCAGACTGCTGTCATTCCATGCGTGAGTCGCATCTGCACATCAGAAAATGACTTCCGAAGTGTTCATGAGTGGACACGAGCCATGAGAATTGAAGGAAGAGATGACTGGACCACATCTTGCGCAGCGACGGGCAACATCCGAGACACCTCGCGAAAAATCCGAACCCTAGAAAACGTCAAGCAGCCCATGGTGGCCATCATGGATATTCTGCCATGCTTCCTGGAGTGGGGCTGAACCCTAAACTCTAATTTTGCAACCCTAAATCCTAAAACCTAAACCCTGAGAGAAAAGCACAACATGAGGTGGAGTGGGGCTTTGAGCAGGATCTCGAAACTTGTCTCTGGGATTGCTGACATGGGCTTTAAGTTTAGGGGTTTCTTGGAGGTTCAGGGGTAGCTATAGGTGGGGTTATACCTAGGGTAACTATAAGTACAACCCATATTAGTCTTATAACTCTACTTCTAACTACCCATGAACCTCCAAGTAGGGTTTAGAAGTCTTAGGGTTCAGGCTAAGGGCTTAGGGGTGAGTTATGCGTACCCTGAACCCTCAAGCCTGAACGACTATGTCCTGGGCATGAACCTGCGGACAAACACCCAAGCCCTGATATGAGAGACACTTACGTAATTCATGATCGGAATAGGGCAAGGAATAGAAGTCTTAGTCTTAGTTTGCATGCTTCTACGTTGAGCCCTAAGGGATCTTCGCGTACTTCGAGCAACAGCCGAAGAGGCGGACACTTTGGATCCAACTCGAGGACCCCGAGAAGAGACGCCTAATTTTCTGAAACTCCGAAACCTGCGAGGGCGGCCGGCCCGGGATGATCCACCCCCGGCAGCTGAGCCGGCTTCAGGGCTTAGGGTTTAGAGTTCAAATTCTAGAGCTTAGAATAAGTAGAGTTTAGGGTCTCCCTAAACCCTAAACCCCTAAACCCTAAACGAGGAGAAGATGACTCTGAAACAGGTGCTCTTCGAAATGTTTTCAATGACATAGGTGCATGCAGCCACTGCCTACCTGGAGGATCAGTGGACTTCGTAAGTAACTATAATGGGGTTTATAAGTAGTTAGAAGTATAGTTACCCGAATAATAACCCTAGTTACTAAGTCCCATGATCCTTTAAGTAATACACCTGGGGCAGGGCCTCTCTGCTCAGAGATCTCATGACTCAATGTGTTCAGCTTTGTAAGCATGCAGCTGAGCTCGCTGAAACCTGAAATTCCACATGCGAAACTCATAGATACTACATCCGGAACTGATACTCACATCCTGCAGCCTAGATCCAACTAAGACATACTGATCAAACTCGAATGTTTAATGCCGAATCCGAAGCCCCAAACCTCCAAAACAAACTAAGGACCAAACCTCCAAAACAAGTCCCAAGCAAGACCTCCGAAAAAAGCAATGGCAAACCTCAAAACAAAACCAAAGCCTCAAAGCCCAAACACTAAAAAAAAGTCACAAGTCCCAAACCCAAACCTCCCCCAAAAGAAACAAAGAAGCCCAACCCCTCAAACCGAAAAACACACAATAATCAAGGCTCCACCTCAT